AGAATCTTTATATATATATATATATAATAGTATGCATCTATATCAGCCAGGACCAGGAGGCAATACTGTTTTTACACATGCCGAAGTGGCGCTAGCGCTAGGCATGGTCTCCTTTTTTATTTCTATTTCTAAAAAATCGTATAGCCGCGCGGCTATACTCGGGGATTTTTTTTAATAAAAAGGGTGTCGCCGCGCGGCTATACTATTTTGATACGTAGCGGAGCGGCGCTGGAGCCGGGCGGTTTTTAATAAAAAACGTACAGCCGCACGGCTATACTACGGTTTTTTTTTATAAAAATTGTATAGCCGTGCGGCGTTACTATTTTTTACACGTGTTGAAATGGGCGCTCGGTGCCAGGTTGGGCTTGTTTTTTTAAATAAATAGTATAGCCGCGCGGCTATACGCGAGGGGTTTTATTAAAACGACTATAGCCGCGCGGCGTTGCTATGGTTTTTTATTAAAAATAGGTATAGCCGACCGGCTATACAATTGTTGACACGTGGCGGAATCCAGGCGGTCCTCTCTTTTAAAAAAATTATAAATAGTATAGCCGTCCGGCGATACTCTGATTTTTTATGATTTTTTGTGATATAAATAGTATAGCCGTGCGGCTATATGACGGTCTTTATTATTTAAAAATAGTATAGCCGCACGGCTATACTATTTACTATATCCAAAAGAGTGGGAGGACAATTTTCTGCGATGGCCATGGATGTAGGGTCCTCTTCAAGGCACGTGTTATAATAAAACTACAACTTTCGACCTCTGCTCCTGCTACAGCGGTGGAAGCTACACTCACATCCATGCCAACCTTGTAGACAACTACGCCTTACTGCGTAGCGGGACTGTTGTATCCACCATGACACAAAATCACGTAATTAACACTAATTATTCATATGAAAAATGTGCTGCTATGAAAGGAAAAAACGACTTATAACACGTGTACAAGATGTACGTGACCATACTAACGTAGTTTTGTATTTGTTTTTATTTTCGGATGTGGCATTTGAGGGCCAAATTTTTCCTTAAACAAAGTATAATAATCAAAACGACTCCTCTTAATAAGTAAAGTTATATGTGTGTACATATATGATCTCATAGTACAATATAGTTTGAGAATATAAACTTTTGTTTCCATCAAATAATTATCTTGTCAACACACTGACGCTATTTGTTGATATGCATGCAGCCAAGCTCGTCCCATGATCAAGATTCTGATGTAAGTTTTCTTATTTCTTTTTACAAATGCAATCTTTTTTGCCTTCATAATCACTTAGCAGTAACACCATGATGCCACAATTTTGGCTTCAACTCAAGGATCGTTGGAGGATTTTGTTCTGGATCAACAATGAGTTCTGGTTTCGATTTGAAATTCTCAAAGAATTAATGTAGACTCATTCTGGTAGCCACACAGAATGTGGTTAATACTACACTTAAGAGTAGATACTGTATGTAGATATAAAATTAGGCTATTTGCTGATCTAGAATTTAGATATAAAAAGCAAAGGCTCTTATGACTTATAAGGTAGTCATTTACTATATCCAAATGGGAGTAAAATAGTAAAATTCAGATAATTAAGAAAATGTTAGTATGAAAATTGAATTGTCATTTCCTAGACTCAAGCATAGGTTGAAAATTAGTGCGTGAAGAATTGTTACTGGACGTTTTGGCACAGCTCATTCAACCACATACTTCCGAGGCATGACTTGACCATATGAGAAACTTGACAATAGGTAAATCATGACATAATCATGCATTCATTATAAGATTCCTAGTTGGAATTATTTTCACACAAGTATTTTTATGTTAATCCTATTTTTAATGGGATTAGATTTTATCTCTTGATATTATTTCCTACTTGATTGGTCTAATTAATTTGTTTAGGTAGATATTGTTTTAGAAGATTGGCCGTAGTGGAAAGTCATTAGGTTTCCTCACATCTTGCATTAGTTGGCGTCATCACATAGCATGTAAATGGAATTAGAATTTATATTGATAATTGGATAATTGTTTGGCGGCAGTTTTGGCGTCTCAAGGAAGAGACCTCTTTGCATGATGTCTAGGAGTTTTAGTTTGAATAGGTTGTAGAGTTATTGTTGCACAGCAAGTGTGGCAACGTGGGTTTCTCTCCAAGGAGAGAAACATGCTTTGAATAAAAGGACGGTTGGTTCTTTTCATTGACTAGCTTTCAACGCATTAAGTTTTTCATGATATTGAATCTTTTAGGAAAAGCTGTCGTGCTTAGTTTAGTGCTCCTTTGTTGCTTGGTGACTTATCGAATCTATTTATCATTCATATTGCATATACATATGTAACTTTTAAACTTTTAATTAATATAATTTTTTTTTTTATAGAGATGAACCAATCATATTGAATTAAAAAATAACTATAGTATTTATGACTCCCTAAACTAGAGAGTATGATTGAAGTTCAAATTTTATAAAGAGTTCCTAAAATAACTTTTATGTATTTTTGGCTAAATTTTAACTTAAGAATAGAGAGCATGACCTTTGCCTACATAATTACTAACTAATTCCTTGTGATCAAGTATTTATTATTTCAGGATGTGCTTGTGAAAGTAGCTGGGGTATTGAATGTTGGTGTTAACATCGGACAAGCTGCTTTAAATAGTGGTTGCAGCATTATGTGATTGACAAACAGCAGAGCAGTTTTCATCTTTCAATGAAAACAATAAGTTTTTTTTAAAAAAAACAATCAAAATTTTAATTTGACCTTATAGTCATTATGGCGATTTTGCTGCTAGCTAGGTTGCATTTGTGTATGACTCTGTTCTTTAAAGAAATTTTACTAGTCCTGTATGTAATAAATTTTCAAAACTATAATTTTATACTACTTTTTGCAATTTGATCTTTTTTATTTTATTTTTTTCATTCAACAGAGAGGGAAATGGAAGAGTATTATATCGGGTTGTCTCAAGATTGTCTTCTACGTTAATTGAATTCGGGTGCCTTTAGGGGGAAGGGGGAGAGTTTGGCTCAAGATAAATATATAATATGGCCACTCACTTTACCTTAGTACTCTCGTCCAATTAACTTTGTTTAAAAAAAAATTGTGAGCTTTTACACGTCAACCCCAACTCCGTAAGAAAAGTTCATGAATCCACCACAAGATGTACCATACTTTGTACTTTTGTTTTCTTTCTAATTTCTGTCGCTTTTGCACACACATGGAACCAATCGAGTCAGAATAATCTAAACCAACTACCAAGTACTAACAATTGGCTTTACAAGTGCAAATACAATGTTCAAGAAAAAAAAACTGCAAACATCATTAATTGGAATATTAAGAACACGAAGAAAATGACACAAAAACGAACCAAAAGACGACTTGGCACATAGGTTAATGATTCAATGAAGAAGCTGTTTATAGAGTCTTCGTCAATGGCAGCTAGCTCCCTCCTACTGTAGTGTAGTTTGTAAGCAGTTTTTCTGATAATTCTATGACAGAATTTGTTCATTAATTAATCGTTATTATTTCTATATTAAGCATTAAAGAAAGTATAATAATCTATAACCGAAAAAGATAATATATAATAATGGCAACTCTCACTTTAACCTAGTACGTACGTACACTCTTCCAAAAAGATGCTATTTTCTTTCCAATTTCTGTCACTCTTTGCACACACATGCCTAGTTAGTGCATGCACCATTATGTGATTGACAGCAGAGCAGTTTTCATCGGACTGAATGTTGGTGTTTCCCTCGAACAAGCTGTTATTGAGAATGGTTAGTGCAACATTATGTGATTGACTTTTTTTTTTTTGGTCGAAACCATTATGTGATTGACAGCAGAGTAGTTTTCATCTTTCAATGAAAATAACCTTATTGACATTATGGTGGTTTTGCTGCTAGTTAGGTCGTTTTTGCATATGACTCTTTCTTTTTTCGGGTTAAGCTAGCAAAACTCTTTTCATGGTCCTGTATGTAATAAATTTTACTTGGTTGTGATGTGACGTCTATATATATATATATATATATTGATTTGAATGCCTGTTAAGATTTATTACCTTCTTTAAATAACATTTCTTCTTATCTCTTTTGCTAAGAGTTTGATAATCCGAATCTATTTTCTAGTCTTAATAGAAGATTAATCTGTTACTTAACTAATATCTTGTCTTAATAGAGTATCTCTCACGCTTATCATTTGAAGATAGAGATCAAATTGTTATAGGCTTTGCACCTGTGACGGATCCAGGTATTTTGTCTTTTGGGGTTATAGTGTAAAACAATATAATCAAGTCATAAATTCAATTTCAATAAAGGGGGGACACACACTCAATAGGTGGTGGATACGGCGGTGAGAGATTAGGGAGGGTTTCCATGAGGTCACACAATCGGCTTAGGGAGGGTTTCCATGAGGTCACACAATCGGCTCAGGTGGACCTCCAAGCCTATTTCCATGATTTCCATAGGGTCGTTTGACTCCAATAACCCCATTGTGGCTCTGTCTATGCTCCAGACCATAAAATATGCAACATGTAAATACCCTTGTGTTTGGCATGATTTTAAGGGAACATAACACTAAACTAGTATTATATTGCACCTTTGAATACATGTGTTTGATGGCAAAAGGGTGGTTTTGCAAAATGGAATAGGGGGAAAATTAGGTGAAAATTTTCAAATTTTTATAATTATAAAACTTTTAAAAATGATGTGGAATATTGGTAAAGTTTGAGGGAGGTATGTGAAAATATGAATAAATTTCAAGGGATGTATGCACAATTTAATTTTTATTGTTAAATTTATTTTTGGAGAAATTTTTACAAAACACAAAATATGAGAGGGGTGTCAATCTAATTAATCCTTAATTATGAGAAGAACTTGTATGTAACGGGGATGTTATCGTAGCTGTATCTTAAGACTATCACTTATTGTCATGTTGAAAAGTTAAAACCCAATAATGGGTGATTGGCACCGAATAACACCAAAGTGGATATGGGTGGCATTCTAGGAATGAAACGTTTGTATTTTACATTGGGCCTGAATGGCCCAATTGGCCCACCGAAATGAAAAATGCTTCATGGAGCAAAGCAAATAGCCTCGTCTTTCCATCTCTCTCGCTCGCTCTGATTCTCAAGCAACAATGGCAGCCATGGAAGGCGTGGTACAGAACCAACCTCCTCAGCCCCAACAGCAACAACCACCGCAACCCATGGCGGTAGAGAGGCTAAACGACGCCGTGCAGCAACAGCTGAACCTAGAGTCCGTCAAGACCCGAGCCATCAGCCTCTTCAAAGCTATCTCTCGCATTCTCGACGACCTCAACGCCTACGCTTACGCCAACACAACTCCCAAATGGCAAGACATATTGAGCCAATACTCCATGGTCAATCTCGAGCTCTTCAATATCGTTGATGAAATCAAGAAGGTCTCCAAGGCTTTCGTGGTTCATCCCAAGAATGTGAACGCTGAAAACTCTACAGTGTTACCCGTGATGCTGTCCTCGAAGCTATTGCCTGAGATGGAGGTTGAAGACAATGCCAAGAGAGAGCAATTGCTTCATGGTTTGCAGAGCCTCCCCATAGGTTCGCAAATTGAGAAGCTGAAGGTGATTTAGGGTTCATTTTAGCATCTGAGTTTTGTTCCAATTTTGTATGTCTATTCAATTTCAGAAGCTTCAGATTATTGTATGCAGGCAAGGATTGATATGATTGGAGCAGCTTGTGAAAGTGCTGAGAAAGTATTGGCTGATACTCGTAAAGCTTACTGCTTTGGAACTCGTCAAGGCATACCTATTGTTCCTACTCTGGACAAGGCTCAGGCTGCCAAAATTCAAGAGCAAGAAAATCTTCTCCGTGCTGCTGTTAATTTTGGCGAAGGTAACCACTATTCATTGTCTTTCTGAAACACTTTCTGCTTCTCAATGTTGCAGTTTTTGTTAACGACTTGCTTGATTGATTTTGGTGATCGTTTCATTCATAAGCTCTACTTTTTAGGTCCTTGCTCAGCTTTAGGTTCTTTTTTCTTAATATTGCAATCGGGTTATTGCTTTAACTTTCAAATGTAGTGTCTCTATTTGTTTATGATTTAGTACTTGTCATTCAAACCGAGTATGGATATATGTGAATGGTTTCATATGGGTTTGTAAATGCATGCATGCAGGATTAAGGTTACCTGTAGACCAAAGACAGAATACAACTGCACTTCCAATGCATCTGGTAGATGTGCTCACTGTAGGTGATGGAGCTCAGCCTTTTGCCGAAACTTCTGGTAATAATCAGTTACTTGTTGTTCAACCATGATTTAACCTTGAGTTGATGTACTAGGTTGTACCCCATTGCTTTTCAGGTGACTTTAACTAAAGTTTTTTCAGGTATGTACTTAAAGAATACCCCTGTATCATCAAGTAACTTGACTGCTCAGAGCCCTTTGATGCAGGTTAGATGATAGACTTCTTAAAGGGCCACTTTGTGAGTTTGAATTCTTAATTGAGCGGAATTGCTAATCAAGTTATGATGATAAAGTTATTTCATTTTGTTGTCCATTGAATTTACCTTAGAAAGTATTGTTTTCATCATCATCTCTCCCTATACATAATCACATTTTTCAGAATATAAGCACACGGATCTCTGAATCTTTCCTCACATTTTCTCTGCCATCTTTCATTTTGGCCGCTTTTTTGTTGTTGTTGCTGCATTTATTCCCATCTTCTTTGATCACATCACTTGAAGTTGCAAGACCTACATCCTCAAAGTTTACACAGCTTAGATACTCTCTCCACAAAAGGACCGTTTTGTTTTCCATCTTGTTGAAACTCTCTGCTTCATTCTCTGCATTTGTGAGGTCAATTATACAGTTTTAAAATTTCTTATTTCTGTAGCTTTATTTTTTTCACTTTGGTTTTTGGCTCTGGGCCTATCCAAAATGAGTGTTTGAGTAATAAGGGATCCCTTCCAGTTGTTATGAGCTATTGTTTTGTAAGTAGTGAGGGATCCCTTCCAGTTGTCTTGCGCTATTGTTTGGTAATCATGTTGGCAAGGCTACGTTCTTGGCATCCTTACCATTACCCCTTATCGGTTCCTTCATCTAAACTTCTACTTTTATTATTCATAAGTTTATTTTGTAAACATGTTGAGTTGGATCCACCTCAAACCCATTTAGTGTACTGATTTGGCCTGTAATTTGGATTTGAACTTTTTCTTTAAAAGAGAATAGGGTTTGGTCAGGGTCTCACATAACCTTGTTCAACCTTAGCCAACAACATAACGTTGTTTTTCAAGTTTCCTTACTTTGATGAATGTTTAAATGATATAGATGTACTATGCATCTTCTGGCCCTCTTACTCGACAATGTCAAAAGCAGGTTTCTGGATCACAACTAATGGGAAGACCGGCTGCATCTCCTGGTGGTACCAGTGTTTCAAACTTTGATAACACAACAACATCTCCACTGCCGTATGCCAACTCCCCAAGGTCTAGCACAAACATGATGAATACGCCATCACCTCAACAACAAAGCCAACAACAGAAGCAACAACAACAGCAGCAACAGCAGCAAAAATTGATGCAATTACCTCAGCATCAGCAGCAGCAACTCCTTGCTCAGCAACAATTTAGGCAATCTGCAATGCAAGGACTAGGGCAAGTAAGGTTTTATGCCAACATCCTATATGCTATTTTATGGCTTAGGAATTGTTGCCACATCATCCATTTCATTAAAGACTCAATGCGAGTTTCCAAAATTTATTTTCTAGATTAAGTCCATGGCCAGTCATCTAGAGAATGTAACTTTTGACTCTCTCATTCATTATGCAGAACCAACTGCAACAGCTGCATGATTTGCAGCAGGGCCAGGCGCAGAAGTTTCAGTCGGTAACTCTGTTGCTAACTCCTTTTTTGCCTTTTTTCTTTTTTCTTGTCTCTTTTTCTGGTTATCATCTCTTAGTAGTTCTCTTATGTTTTTCTAAGGTTCTAGATGCTGCTTTCATTGAATCTTTCACACTTTCAGGAATTAGATATGTACTTTAAGATATTAATGAAAAATCTATTTACTTGCGTTGCCCTTTTGTTTAATAAGGTGGAAGTATTTGCATCCGCATATCCCCACAAATTACAAGCCTTGTGCATCTGTGCCTATAATCTGGGTGTTGGTTCTTAAGACTTGGATAAGAGTTTGGGCTTCTGAACGGATGACTGTAGAGTCATGGGGAATGAATGTGTGCTTTTCCCATATTAGAGAATTTTGCAAAACTGTAGTATTTTAGGCGCTACTCTTTCTTTCTCTCCCTCTCTCATGTTATTGGCAAAACTATATGAGCTTTTGCATCAACAATGCAAAATAGAATTTATTTGTCTTGCTGCATTTCCCCATTTTTGGGGTTACTTAACTAGTAATTATTATTCTCTCTAGTTACACGGACAACATCAAATGCAATTTTCTCAGCCTCTGGGGCACCAGCAATTTCAGGGTAGGCAGTTGCCTTCTGGACACGTTCAACATGGCATTGGTCAAAACCAACTTAATCCAGGAAATCAAATGAATCGTCATCTTGGCCAGTTTTCTGGCACTGCAAATAGTGCACTATTTAATGCTGCTCAGACGACACCGAGTCAAATGGTTAGATTTTGTGCCAATTCATTATCACTTTATTATTTGCATGAAAATGAGTGGGAAGATTCTATTCATTGCATGATTCAGAACATCAACTTGTATTGTTTGTGATATGCTTGTATTTTATATTGTGTAAGTTTTGCATAACTCCACCTTTATGCCCTTCTATTGCATTTAATTCAAAGTGCTGCATTTTTTTTACTTCTTGATGATATTTATGCCATTACATCTTCATTTGTTTTCCTGTTCCAGATACCAAACATTTCGGCCACTATGCCCTCACAATCACTTCTGCCTCGAATGCAGGTACATTTCCTATGTTATTTGGTTTGTTGTGTTTCCTATGTTTATGTTAGTTTCTTCATTTTATTAGTTTGTGCCTTTTCCTTTTTGCTTGTGCTTTATTCTCAAAGGCTAATTTATCTAAGGTGGATGATGTATTTTGATGATATGAATTGTTTTGATATCATGTGACTGATAATGTGATGACTTAATCCCTTTTGCTCTTTTTGCTCCACAGTTTGAATTGTCTGGTAACAATCCCCAGAGAAGCCATGCTTCCCAAATGTTGAGTGATCAGAGTACGACATATGCCCTTTCTCGGTCTAATATTAACCTCATATATGAGTATTGCAATCAGGTTCTTCTTGTTCCTGGTTTGATTTAGTAGTTGGGGTCTATGCTTGCAGTGTTTAACATGGGAGCAGCAAATACTGGTGGTATGATGCCCCTACAGCAGCAGCAACAGCAGCACGGTTCACAAGGTGCATTCGGAAACATTCCACCAAATGCTCAGAATCTTCAGTCTAATATGGTAGCACTTCAGGGCACACCACAGAATCATCCCAATTTTGGCCAACAGAGACAGCAAAATCAGCAATAAGACTAATGTTTCTAGTTTGTCAACAGAAACTTCAAAACTTTTAAATTTTTGCTCTCTGAAAAACAGAGTTAGTGTCTATCTGTTTGGGTAAAATAGCTAAGAATTGGCAATTGGCACTAACCTGGTGTATGTAATTGTTGTTATTGACCTATATAAAAGCTTGTACATGCTGTTTATTATTTAGTTTGTAGAAACACTTTCCAATTCAGTGATAATCTCTTACACTCAATTCAGAAGCTAAATCAATAACTTTGCAGTCATCCATTCAGAGGCCCATACTCTTGTCCAAGTATTAAGAACGAACACCCAGATTATAGGCACAGATGCACAAGGTTTGTAATTTGTGGGGGTGCAGAAGCTAAATCAATAACTTTCCAGTTCTGTAAAGGTTCTTAACATATTTTGTTTTGATAAAAGTTAAATCAATAGAAATGAATTAGACTCTTATTATCTCTTCAAAATATAAATTAATTCATGCGGATCGAGTTCATTTTCATTCACAATTCACATAACAACCAAACCAAACAAAAAACTAATTGATTAGTGGACTTCATTTACGACCACTTATAGCAAATGTCGTATTGTTGGTTGTCCCAGTTAAACATGCAAGGGCCACCATCACGCATAACCCAATAACACTCACTGCAATCTCTACCATCTCTCCAGTGATTATACACATCGAACCAGTGAATCGATGCATCTGGCAACTGAAAACTGCAGTAGAATCGTGTTATTCCGATAAACGTCGGTTTAAAATGGAATTCAAATGAGTCTTGAGGTTGGAGCACTTGGATACCAATGTCATCGTCCTCAGATCGGCAGTTAACGGTGAGGGTCGAGCCTCCCTCCAATGCATTTGTGACTCTAACATGTCTTGTCTTCCGACCAAGCCCTGCCCACGTGAAGAAGAAAATGAACATTGTGAGCAGAGCTACGCTTCCATAATTGAACCGAGCCATGCCAGCTATGGCTTGTGAAGAAATTAATTTTATGACACTGGATGGAACATGCTTTTATAGTTGCTATAGTGCAATAAGATTATGGTAACCGATGTGGTTGATAAAACCTAGTAACAATTTGATGGGAATAATAATGTGGAAAGATAAGGAAGTAAGAAAAAAGAACAACAGGTGAAATTGGAATGGCTCAATATGAATTAATTTGACAAAAAACGTAAAAGAGTTCATAATTGTCACATAACCGATATTGAAGATTTGTAATAGGAATATTATAACTGATATGATATTGAAGATTTCTTCAACTGAAAATCTTGCATTGACCATCCTTGAGACGAGCTCCTCCTCAAAACAAATGGGATTTTGAAACTTTGTCGATTTCATTGAATATATATATATTTTTTGAAATTCTTTTAAGTCTCTTTGTTTTGGAACAAGTGTCAAAATCTCAGTTTTGAGGAGGAGAATCTCCTTAGTTTTAAGGAGCCAAACCTTGATCTCTTGAATATAACGAACATAGAGCAATATGACCATGTTCCATTTGGAGTACTTTTATTTCTAAGAGCCATAAATAAATGAACATTAAATACATAACACGAGCCACCAAGGCTATAGTTTTCACAAGTTATCAATTATTCATTTTTTATCACGCTTTTGTAGTACTAATAATATTAATAAGATCAATTAGCTTTTGGTGTAGTGATATTTGTCACAATTTAGTTTGAGGAGGTTTTAGGTTCGACTCACATGAATAACAAAAACGATATATATTTGTTATGAGTTCTAATCAAAGCGATTGAGGCTAAGGAAAGAAGAAATCTTGGCTGTAGGTTCCTCTTCCTCAGGACATGAGGCTTTCTCCTTGTTAATGAACCAAAAAAGTTCGGCGATTAAGCTAGGAGGCTCTCCCAGAGTTATGATTGTCAAGATGGTGCTCCAAGAAAAAAAATACTTAGTTGATATATTTATGTGGAATCCTACATAAAAGAAAAGGTAAAGGCGTTGAGTGACTTTGGATTTTGATTGTTGGCTTTTTTTTTCTTTTTGTGTCCTTTGATTCTGAATAGTTCCTTCCTATTTATAGGAATAAAACCACAGTCTTAATAAGTCTTAATAAGAGTGTTGGCGCTAAAACTAGATGGGTAGTAATTAGACCAACTTTAAGATGAAGTGGATGTTGAAGGTGAGGACCTTCAGTATGTGAGAGCATTCGGTAAGTAAATAGGCATGCATACAGAAGACAAATGTACGTGGTTCACCCGAATAATGGGCTACGTCCACGGAGAAGTATGTTCTCATTACGATAATGTGAGTATACATTGCACATAGGTTTAGACTCAAGGAGAAGAGGAAGAATACCAAAGGCCGAAGGCTGGAGGCCGAAGACAGATGCCGAAGGCTGGAGGCCGAAGGCTGAGGATCTAGTATGATCCGTGGGTTTTTAAGTGGGCTCATGGGTAAGCCCATGAGGCCCCAGTAGCCTGCCCAAACTTCCCATTCTTTCTTGTAGTGTCTTGAAGGAGAGGGGTCTTCTTTTATAAGTGAGGAAGAGTCCCCTCTTCTTGTGTTTTGTTGATGTGAGACTCCCTTTCCTTTGCTTGGATTGGCTTGGGAATGCCTGGCAAGATATTGTACAAACAAAGAGCCTTGAGTAGAAACAATATGTAAGCACTGCGTTTGGGTTGATATGAAATGAGGCTTGAGATGAGAAATCAATTGCTTTCCCATGTTTGGTAAGTCCAGCTGTGGGAAATGATTACCTGACACATGAGAAAATAAGGAGAAAAATGTAACCCTCCTCCCCCCTCTTGGGTTTCATTTTCCCTTCTCATGAGAAACTTTGGGAAAATAGGCCAATGCACATTTGACCATTTTGTCCTCATTAACAATTTAGAATTACAATATAGCATTAAATGCATGTTTTTAAATTTAATTTCATATGATATAATTGAAAAATTAAACAAACTTTGTTTTACATTCCTACTCAAACCAAACATGGAAAATGAAATAAAGTGGTATTTCCTGGTTACTTGCCCAGCATTACCAAACATGGGAAATGAATCTTCCATTTCCCATCATTGGGAAAAAACATGGAAAATTATTTCCTATCAAATCTTTTTCGCGAACCAAACGGGACCTAATAGGCTATATGATGCAGTTAGTACCAACCTTGATATGACATGACTTGTGTAAAAAGAAAACTCTTGCTTGTGTAGGAAGGAAGTCTTCTCTGTTACATGGCTCC